CCGACGCTCTGATAGCCTCTTTATGTTCTAACTACCAGTAGACTGAGCAGGAAGCGCTCACTATGCATCTACGTTGTTTGGCTCTATCTTGAAAGTCTGTCTCTGGTCCATTCTGTTCTACACGATTGCGAGGCAGCAGTAACTACGAACTTGCAAGTACAAGCTTCAATTAAAATTCCACCAATACTGTATTTGTACTGCCCATTTCAGGAAAAATCGCCAAACTATATGTGCTGCCAATATTCACAGTTATGCACTAAGATGGTTTCTCTGCCTGGTCAAGACCATAGTGTGTCTACAATACAGAAGTAGTGACTTGCTAAGTATCAAAGTTGATTGTCTGTTTACTCTCAGATCCCAGCCTCACTCCCTCCAACATGAGAGCAGCACTAGACACACTGCCAGCCGACAAGTGGGAGGGGTTTGGGTGGTGGACTGGATGTCCCAGAGTCCAAGTTGGAACAGATCAGGTCTCAGTTCACTAGTGATGAGGAGAGGAAAGATGAGCTCATCAGAATATATCACACTCAACATCCCCACCCAACATGGGAGCATGTCTCAAATGCTATCTACATGTGTGGTGCTGAATTTCAAGATCAGCAGTTCCACAATGTTCTTGACAGACTCCAGTCCATGTTCCCCACTGGTAAGTCTGTCTCCCGATCTCAACAGCTATTGAAAGTTCTTAGGCTTCCACATATTAGGCGAGTTGCATTAGCAAACCTCGTGTATAGTTTTGCAATTTTTCTAACGCTTAGCTGGTGAGTTACGCATTGACTGCAGAGATGACCATAAAACATCCACCACACGTAGCGCAGTGCATCTAATCATATTGCAAAAACTTGCAACTGTGCCTATTAATGTGCCAAGTGGCTATCATTGAAACACGCGGCATGTACAGCATAGACGCCTGGCAAACCTTTGACACACTTTTTCCACCCTCTCTGACACAGTGACGTAACAGAGTCCTTCCAATTATTAGTCGAACCCACTTCTCAGGCATATTTTGTGTGGATATTATTAAGTATAGCATAATATTATTACCTCTTACAGGTCGCAACAAGGCCAAGAAGATCTATGAAGAGGAGATGAAACGTGGAATCACAGAACGACTCATCACAAAAGTGACAATGGTGGGTACTGCAGGCAGCGGGAAGTCAACGTCCCTAGAGACACTGACTGGCGAGGAGCCACTGGCAGAGAGAGAACGAGAGAGCACACCACTCCTGAAGAGACCCGTCCAAACCGAGGTGGTCTTTGTGGAAGGGAAGGAGGTGAGGTGGAGGAAGAAGACGGCAGACGAGAAGAAGCGATACATTGCCCGCATCCTGAGAGCCCGTGCCCAGAAACTAGGCCAGCCAGCCACCCAGCCACCAGCTGTAGTCAGAGAGAAACACAACTCCCCCAAAACAGCAGAGTCAGCATCCTCTCCCCAGAAATCCTCACTAGCAGCCACAGAAAAAGCCAAAGCCTCAGCCACTGCCCCCAGTACGGCAGCCACTGCCTCCAGTACGGCAGCCACGGCCAGTGGTGAGCAGTCGTCTGACAAGGCCCCAGAGGTGACGGTGGAATCCCTGCTGGAGTCATCTGAGGTGGAGGAGGAGTTCATATCCCTCATCAGCATCCCCAGCGACTCCATGGAGACCGTCTTCACTGAAACGTGTGTGTACATCGTGGACAGCGGAGGCCAGCCCGAGTTTGTGGATGCCATGACGGTGTTCCTAGGGCAGACGTCGGCCTGCATTCTAGTCATCGATCTCTCCCAGCCACTAGACCACCGGCCAAACGTCGGCTACTACCGAAGGGGAAAAGCCGTGTCCAAGCCCTATCGGTCCACCCGGACAAATGAAGAGAACCTGAAGCTGAGCATGCGGACCATGCACACGTTTGTCTCCAAAACGAAGGGAGATCCCCTTAAGCTGGTCTTCCTTGGCACCCATCGAGACCAGCTGCACAAGTGTCTCTCAGAAACGGTGGGAGACAAGAACAAACGATTGAAAAAGCTTATCAAAGAAGTTTGCCAGTCAGGTGATCTGGCGCCACCACGAGAAGTTGATCTTGAGATGAACGCTCTGAAACCAGACCATCTGGACAAGAAGACGGCAGAGCGGATCCGAGCTACGTCTTGGAGCAGTGCAGCCCATCAAGGTGAAGCTGCCCGTGCGGTGGCTGGCATTTGAAGAGAAGCTGAGGAGCATCGCGGGGAGAGACTGGGGAGGATGGTGATGAGTCGGCAGGAGTGCAGTTGCGGCAGAGTCACATGGGGCTGGCGGAGACTCTTTCGACGTTGCCGTGGACAAACTTCCACGAAGTGAGCCTCATGTTCTATTTCCGCACCATCCTCCCAAAAAACCGTGTTCGTCGACCCACAAGTGTTGCTGGACAAGGTCTCGGAGCTGGTGGAGTTCATGTTTGAGTGCGAGAGCCGGAAGAGGAAGACGAATCTCTGACGGCACAAAACCAGAAGAGAAACACACCCCAGATGTTGGAGAGAAGACAACCGAACCACTCGAGACGCCATCAGATGCCAGCAATGCTTCCGAGCCGGTGTCATATTCTGCCAGTGAATCATCCGAAGTGCCGTCAGCTGCAGGAGAGGAGTCGTCAGACCCGCCATCAGACACTGCGCTATCAACCCCCGAGGATCCCTCTCCAGAGAAGGAACTGTCGTCAGCAGACATGGATCTTCTGCCTCCCGGCTGGCAGGAGTTCATGAAGTTTGGTCGAATCACAAAGAAGTTTCTGGAAGACAGGAGTTCAGCAGCCACTACAAGGAAGGGGTCTTCAGCTGTGACGATCTGATCCACCTGCTGGAGGAGCTGCTGGTGTTTGCCAGGCTGTGGAACGAGGAGGGTCCAGAGACCTGGTTCATGCCGAGCGTCCTCCGACACATCTCTGCCAGCGACATGGACAAGAGGTGCTCGTCAGCCGGAGCCCTAGTGGTGGACTTCCCCGACGGTGGTCCCCAGAGTGGCGTCTTCTGCTCCCTCATGTCCCACGTCCTCTCTCCTGAAAACCACAGCCCCTACTCCTGGAAGCTGCATCTCTCGTCGCAGGAGCCTTCGTGTCTGTATCGCGACTGCATCCAGTTCGAGGTCCCCAAGTATCCCGGGTCGGTGACCTTCGTTGACCGCTACGAGTACTTCGAGGTTCACGTGTTCACCTCAAAGACGTGGGAGAAGGAGCTGTGGGGGCACGTGAGAAAGGCTGTCTTTGGTGGGATCGAGACCGTGGATGAGACTCTGGGCTACTCCGAAAACAAGCCACGGCCAGCAATCGTATGTCCGAGACCCCACATAGACAGACCACACCCAGCCTACGTCCAGGACAAGGAGTGGATCTGCACCAGCGACACCAACCAATTTGGAGACCTGACCACCCAATTTCTCTGGAACCAACCTACATGTGAGTAGTGCAAGCGTGTAGGCTACAGTAAGCGATGAACTATGAGAATGGCAACAGTCGTCTGCCTCCCTGACTTTGCCGTCTTTCTTTCTGTACTTAACTTGCAATCTAGCTGTGAAGGGGGTCTTTTTAGCACTGAAAACGTAGGTTTACTGCATGTGTTTAGCTGTGCAGGCGGTGGGTCTCGGTGCGAGTTTTTTTGCAAAGAACCCTCTCGAATTCAGCCTATTTGCTCAGCCACGTTTACCATCTTTTCGCTTGTTTCACTTGTTGCAACTGGACAGGCTATGCATAGATGTACTGCATTGCACTTCCTTGTGCTGAGTCTCTCGTAGAGTTCTCATCATCTGCAACTAGCATCCTAAGGAAAGATGATGTTTTCCAGGAAGTTGCAGCTTTCCTTCACCAGGAATCACCTGGTCCTATATATCCTAGAACTGCCGAGTGTGAAGTGCATCTCAGCTTACTTTTACAAAACACTTGAAACGTCGTATTACGCAATGCGTACTCTTCAAACGCAAGCCGCCTTTTTGTGTCGCCAGTCACAGGTGTGAGTCCTCTCAAGAATCCTCTACTGCTTCTTCAATACCAACTCCTTCTGCAAGTGGTGATGAGACTTCTACTCCAGAACAAGGAACACCAGGTGAAACTAATTGATGGAACATTACTGTTTACCATTTTATGTGTGGGGAAGCTGGTAGTGGTGTATTATAGCAGTGTTCCTTTGTTGTTGCAGTTGTGTCAGAGGAATCCTCATCTGCTGCCTCATCAGTTCCTCCTGTGAACCAGGCTCCTTCTTCTTCTCCTCCGACTCCAGTAGAGAGCCAACTCGGTATATACTACATTATCATTAAACTGTATGTCACATTCCAGCAATATGAAAGCCTGGTGAATAGTGTAAGACGTTTCAGTTAGTGGACCTACGTGTTTGACTGTCTTCGAGTGCCCTGCTCAGCATGCACAGGTTTTTTGTGGCAGTGTCATGAAGATTTCTGTTTGGTGGGTTCAGCTCAACCTAAATGCGATACAAAATATAAAGCAGCTTAGCTACCTTTATATCTGTGAACAGCTGCTAGCCATCTCAGCCATATAGGCATTATTATTTCTCTCTCGTATGTGCAGGCATCAACGATCTCTTCACCGTCTACTCTGAACTGGTGGGAGTGGCTCACAAGTGGAAGAAGGTGGGACTGGCCCTTAGACTGCATCCAAACTTACTCCGCAGAATCGAGGCAAAGAAAAATGACGTCGAAGACAACGTATCAGATGTGTGTGAGGAATGGTTAAAGAAGTCGTATGACACAGAGAGTTTTGGGGATCCGTCATGGAAACTGCTGGTGGATGCAGTGGCTCATCCAGCTGGAGGCAAAGACGTGCCCTTGCCTTGGAGATTGCTGCCAAGTACAATGGTAAGTAACAGCTTATTCCTTATATTGTGCTCACAAGTACAAATACGTCTTGTTTTCTCTCTCTCTTCCACAGTGCCAGCTCCACAATAGCCGAACCAACCTCACTTGTACATCCATATTGAACATACCGGTATCTTCACACATTATTATTGGCTGGCTAAGCAAGCCTACACATTTTTCCTTTTTAAAATTATCATATCCAATGCTGTCACACTGGAGAATGTGCGTAGAGCAGTTACGAGGTCACACTCTAATAGACTTACTCGTGTTATCTCGCCAGAAAGCTCATTCCTTGTTCCTAAAGTTTGACTTCACCTGAGCTTTTGAAAACCTAGTTGTAAAAATGCTATATACCATTGGAATTTCCAGAAACCCATCAGTAACAAAAGTGTGAAGTACAGGGTACATTGTTTACACAATGACTTCCTGGGCTCAGGTTAACAAAAAAATAGACCCTTTCTTCTTGTGTTCTGTTACAATAGCATGAACATTCTTAGGTCTAATGTGGCAATAGCAAACGCAAAACTTCATCACTGTGCTGCAGAAATCTCAACTCTCTCATACTCATGGCAGCTAATCATAATGACTTGCTCGAACATACAACAAATACAGGTGACAATTGGATCAGACAAACGGAGAGAAAAGGCAACACACAAACACAGCTGCATAGAGAAACACACATTCACACACAGACTGTAAATTATGACACTGAGACAAAGAGTTTGGGGGGGCAGCCCCTTGCTTCATGAAACGTAACGACAGAAGAAGGAAGAGTGTTGTGGCTACAACAGGGTCGTGGAGAGTTTGACCTCTATCTTCTTGGGGTGGTAGGGAGGGGAACGGGTCAGCTCAGAGCTGCTCATAGTCTTGTGTTGTGGCCGGCGGTACGGAGAGTGGTGGAGCGTCTGGCCGGGAGCCCGGGGCCCTCCGACGAGGGAGACATGGCTCTCTGCAGCAGGGGTGAGGTGTGCAGGGAAGAGTGCTTGGTATAGATGGGGGAGAGTTTGGGGGCGTGGTGAAGGAGGCGGAGCTCGGGTTCTGCATGGAGCCGGGAGGGGAGGAGTTTGGGGTGATGATCTGTGCGAGGGGACGCGTGGAGGTGCTGCGAGCCAGAGGGGACACCGGGGTGGGTCGTCTTCGCGGAGTCATCTTGGACACAAGCTTCTGCGTGAAGGACTCAGTTTGGCTGAGACAGGAGTGTTTTGGTGAGGTGTGTGACTGCTGGAGGAGTGGCCAAAGCTGTCCACTCCTTCGTGTCCCTCCCTCGCATGCGACCATGAACGACTTTCTTTATTCCCACAGCTCCCGCTCAAGTGTGGCGGAAGAGTTTCCCCACTCGATGACCACAGTGTCGGCAGCCTCTTTTTCTGTCTTGCGAATGCTGGTGTCGTCAAGAGGAAGGTGTTGATGTACAAGAAAGAATTGTGTTTGTCGATCATGAGTTTCATGACTTGTATGAGGTGGAGTCCGATGACCGACTGACCGTTGATGTTCGTCACAAGGCAACCTTTCCTCAGACCTGCCTCCAGCTGACCTTTCTTGTCCACTTTCTGCAGGAAACATGTACAAAGGGAGAGTTTGTCACGTTTCGTAACACATACAGTACAATGTAAAGGAGTCTGCAGCATGCAATACCATACCTCAATGATGTGGTGTAATTTGTAGTCGTCAGTCTGTCGATGTGAGCCTCGAATGGCCTGAGGATCATGCCGTAGCCACTGGCACTCTCTTGATTGCGTATGTACTAGTGACATCTGGAGTGCCGCGGGCTGCGGAGAGGACTGGCCTAGGCGGCCACGCTGCATGCTGGACCCCTGTC